GAATGTTCAAATCGAGAACTTGTGATTTCAAGATGCCAATTTCTTTACATCTTACACCATCTCTGACGTCGATTTGTAACCAAATGCACCTAAATAATCATCCAGCCTGGTTAACCCAGTTACAGTTGATTTTAACTTTCAAGTTTCTCCCCTGACTTTAGATAAATGACTCAAAGGAGTCACTTTTTATTTTTGGCCTTTTCATAACATACGATCAACCTTATTTAATTGTATGTTTTTGTGTTTTTCCCATTTTTAAGACCAACTAAAGGAAATCAGATCATGTTTATACCTCTGGGAAAAATAAGCACTGTTTTAATTACTGCTAACAATATTGTCATTGTTTCTTTACTTTGGAAATTTGGGCCTTTATTGTATAACTACATATTGACATATGATGCTTGTTTGTAACGGCATGCAAGCAGGAAAGCGTTGTACTGTTGAAATTTGCATTTTTCCCATCCTGTAGCTTTTTTTCCGCCTCAAGCTTCTTTTCCGAACATACGGCTTTACGATCAACTGCAAGCAGTTGAAATTGTTTCTATCAATGTTTTTTTTTTTTTTAATAAAGTATTTTAAATGCCACTATAAACACATTTAATGAGTTTTAATGCCAATTAAGGCCTTAATTTAAAGAATAATAATTTAATGACTTTTAATGATTTTTAATGACCCGCAGAAACCCTGTATGTTTTCATTTTTATTGAATTTTGCCACCTTATGCTACATTCTCTGTAAATAATGCTACCTGTTTGGTTCAAAGTTAGGACCTTGATATTGATCTGAGGTCCATGCTAGTTATTTACCTCTACTTCCCCTGTTTATTACAGCAAAACATAAAGTCAATGCCTGAAAAACTTCTAGAATTACTTTATTTTTGTTGTATATCTTAAAAGCTGCTCAAAACCCCATAATAATTGGTTGCTGAAACAGCTAATGTGGATTGGAGGACATTACAGCTGGAAGACGGGTCGTCTAAAATTAACAGTACACTCCTAACTTCTAATATGCACATATTCTTATACTTAACTATTGTTCTTCTTTCTGCTTGTTTCATTTTTTTTTCTTGCATGTCTTATGTTTATCTTTCTTTAAAATATAATTTTTAATAAACTGAAATTCAACCAATGAGAAGCTCCCAAAAAGGCCCCATGTGCTGCGGCAGGATAGACACAGGCTACGACCCTTGAAGCAATTACTATGGGGTTCAGTTCCCCAGCACCCCAGCATGACTTCCTCTACTCTTTTGATAGTAATAGTTAATAGATAATACAAAACCTTTAACTTTAAATTGTTTTGTAAGTAGGGATTTTGTTAAAAGAAATATTGGATTTTTCTTTCATTTTATATTACATCTGAAAAAAGAGATTATATGAAGCAATTTTAAATGATGTAGAAGCTAGAGGAGAACAAAGAAGGTTTAAATATCAAAGAAGGAGAAGAGAAATGCAGAACAAGGGAGGAAACAGACACTGATGAACCAGGGTGGACTACATCAGGAGACATCTGGGGAGTCTCCAACATGTGGCAGCCATGACAGAAAGACAAACTAAAAACCACTCTCCCCCTAAAATCTTCTCTATGCTTTTATGAGACCCACCCTCCCTCTACCTTCATCCATCTATCTATCCCTCCATCCCACAGCAGACCTCCCTGGTGTCCTGACCGCTATCGAGCAACGCACTCCACGTCTTTTCCTGAACAAACTGCTGCAGTTTGCATTCTTTGCGTCGACCCCTGGGTACGGATCCGTACCGCACCACGCCCACTGACCCCATCAGTTGCATTCAATAAAAGGCTCGGGGAAACTCCCTCTCCCCTTTTTCTCTGGCAGTGTTGATGTTACAGGCAGACTGTTTGGTTGTGTTTTGTCAGGGTGCGATGACAGAACTAAACATGGATATTTACTCTGTGATAGCCGCTGTGTCTGGATAAGCTCTGAGGGGATACTGTCCCTGTAGGACTGAAGGAAATTTTGTCTTTCAAAGGATACTTCAGATATTTCTAAGCAATTTTCTGTTAAAAGCTGATAAACCAGAGGGGAAACAGTTAATCCGATAAATCGGATTGAAAAAAAAAATCTAGTAACTGATAAATCTTAAACTTAAATATACTGGGTAACAGATCCCGTTAGCTGAAAGAGTAACATGCTGAGAGCCAAAAATGTAGGATTTGAAACCTTTTTTGTAGTGAAAATGCTCCTTTTTTAGCTTCAGCTGGTTTAAATACTGTATGTATTCTTTAAGGCATCTTTTTCTAACCAATCATTAATCGGACAAATTAGTGACAGATTAACCGATTAGCAAAAAAATCGTTAGTTGCAGCTTTACTATAAACAGTAACTATCTTACCTGGGAAGCAAAAACTGGCTGAGAGTTTAATTTAAAACAGAAGTGCATTAATATCAACAATCGAAATGAATGCATTGTGTAAAACCCACACACAGTATGGAAAATGCAAGATGTCTGCAGTCAGAGTAATACCTTATACAAAAGTAAGGCAGCAAAAAAAGTAATTTAACTGGTGTTTGATTAGACTGTGGGACATTTTTCTATCAGACAGTAACTGTAATTGGAAGCTCTGTCTGATTTGAGCTTTTCTAACAGGAAGATTAAGTAAAGGCAAACTGTAGTTTTTGATTGCAGCACTGGTTTGAGATTAAGCTGCTCTGAGACAGTAGAAGCCCGATTGCTTCTTGCCACATTCGAGGACTTATCTTCACTGCTCCTCCGAAAGCAGCTAATCTGGATTGGTTGATCTGAATCTATATTTTCTGCACCAATGCTGCCCACCGACCACAAGTAATAGATTTATAGATTTTAAAAACTCTTTTGCAGCACAAATGTAGGTTAGATATCTAGGATATCAAAGACAACACCAGGTTCAACATCTCTTCTCATGGTTCCAAAAAGTAATGAGGATGTTTTTATTTTCTTGTCCTAACAACGTTTCCATTTAACTTAATCTGAGGGCTAAAGCAGTAAATGACAAAGGAAAAGCTTTACACTGTTTGCCTGTAGATGTTTTGGGGGGAATCTTTAGGTTTGTTCTGCATTTCCTATTCTAACTACAGTCATAGTGTGGCTGAAACAATTTAGGTTAAACCACCTTTCACACCATCTAGTTTTTTCATATTCTCTGTAATCGGAGTTAAATTCCATCAGCGGATAAACTTCATTCTACAGACGAGGCAGAACGCTTTATAAACCGGGTTTAATCTGTAATGGTGTTACGTTAAAGTTAACTGTTAACCGGGGTTCTTGCAGTCTGAAGTCATCCACACACACAAGTTTAGAAAACCTTTGTTAAGACCACCTGTAATCTCCTTGTCTTCTTATTGGGACACACTGCAGCTCATTTTGGGTGATCCAAAGGCATCATGGGATATATAGACAATAAAACTAGTTCTGCATCTGGTTCAGGGCCTCTTTCCTGTATGATGCGTCTAGAAAAACCTCCTTATAAAAAGCACCTAGAATGTAACGAAGAGGATGGCTTCACTTTTGGCTGATCCAGAAAAACCAAAGAGGAGATGCTTTCCTAAAGTCCAGCCACCCCCAAAAATATAACAATATCCTATTTGTACATTTTGGTCATTTTATCACCCAGCTGTATTTGCTTGCATTTTTGCATGCTTGCATTATGGCTAATGAGGAAGGAATACCCCACAGGCTGAAATCGAAGCCTCTATTCCAGCTTGACCTTACTCTGACTCATAAACTGTCCTGTTGAGACACACACAGTATCCTGACAGGCTTATGATTGAAGTTTTGATTTCAGCTCTAATTGAGAACTTGTGGTTGTTTAAACAACCTATGATTACTGTGAGCACTGTATATTCCCAGTATGAGTGAACTGGTTTGTGTTGATGTGGGTGTGTGGGAGCAGACCTGCAGCAGAGTGCCATGGATGTGGTTGTGTTGGATTTTGGGTCCTGGTTCTGGAGGGAGCTCCTGCAGCAAAGAATGAACAGTGGAGGGGACCTGGGTGAGCAGCACAAAGGGGACGAGCGCCCTGGCCGCCATTTCTCGGGTACGATACACGGCGGAGCGACTGCATCTGTTAAATAAAAATGAGGCGACAAATTAAAGAGTTTGAAGATTCTTTGTTTTTATACCGTTACAGAGATGAAAGTTTTTGCAAAATCAGAATTCGTCAATAATGACTGGCTACAGGCCTTTGTCTAATACAACCTGACATTTGAGGTTCCTCAAGGCTCTGTTCTAAAAACCCTTTAATTCAATATTGACATGACCCCACAAACTCAAATTATGGAGAGCAGAAACATCTCCTCGTATAGATTTGCTGCTGATGTAGTTTCATTGTGACACAGTCAGCAGTTTAAGGCAGAAAGAGTCTGTTTTCTTTTTTTTTTTGGACTGAAATAAACCAAATTTGGAAAACATTACTCATCATGACCTTTATGTTGCCATCAGCATAAAGCTAAAAGTTTTTGCTGAGCCTTGACCAACACCATGAAGGGATAACATCACATCATTACAGTGACTTCCTGTTTTGCAAACCTAAGAATTGCCTGTCAAACATATTCATCTAAACCCCTCAGGTCACCAGGAAGCTGTTTCTAAGGAACTCTAGGACTTTATCGTGGTGTTTTCTGATGACAGTACATCACTGATAGTTCAACCCTCTGAAATAATAAACATGGCTTATTTGATTTGGGTTCTATTTTTGCTTATATCTTATGTAATCTAGCTTCCCTTTTCTCCTTCCCCTCACCCAGCTTCATGTCTTATTGCAAACTTCACAAAACAAACATCTCCTGGGCTGGTAGATGACCGATAAACCTGAATTGGAATATTTTTAACTCATTACCCAACCAGGCAGGAAATGGTACGCGACATTTTGTTATTGCCCACCCGCACACATCCCCCTCCCATGGTCGCTCGCAGCGTCCAGCGGTAATGCTGAGTATGGCCTGTCACCCTGAGAGTAAAGCTAAAATTAACCTTGTTTACAAGCTGATAGGCTTTCCTTCTCCAGTGTCATAACAGAGCCAGAGCTGACACAGGAGAAGGACATGACCAAAGACGTGAATGAGATAAGACAGACTGGAAGGGGCAGAGTAAGACTTACTGGAGGAAGAAGGTAATTTCACAAGGCTTTTGTTTACTCTTTAGTTAAAGCAGACATAGTTCAACCACTTATAGTAAAACAAACCACAACCCCTATTCAGAAAAAAACAGAATTTTTACTTATCCTCATCTCTGGCACATAACTACAGTCAAAGTAGTTTTTAACACTAATGTATTTTTTGGCTTTAGTTTCTAAGGTGGAAGTTCATGTTGTTGCTAAAAGCTTATCGATGCGCTGATCTGATTTCTGCTACTCTAACTCCTGAACTCAATCTATTCAGAAGATGAGTTTGAATTCCTTTCTTGTAGTTTTAGCATTATAATGGCGTCACGTGAGTGAAACTGCTGCCAAGAATATGGTAGCTGACAAAACAGTTTACTGGAGCACCAGGAACTTTAAGGTGAGAGGTTTGGCAGCAAAGCTTACAGAATGCCTTTGTTGCCACCAGTGCAGAGCTTACAGTTAGATCAGTTTGAGCATAGATCTGTGGGAGGTTAAACAAAGTCTCTGGGTAATGTTCTTATGGCAAGATGGGCAGCAAGGGGTCACTATCTAGAGTTAAGAGTCCTGCTCTAAACTGATATACAGGGGAAAAAAAGGAGACAGTAAATTAAAATCCGTTAGATGAACAAAGGGGGCAAGGCTGTGTGGGAGATAGCGTTATTTGCTTACAAACCTTTTTCTCTGGACAGACATGAGAAAACATTTTTAGAAACATTAAACTAATTACATTCTTGAGTTCAACAAACCCATAAAGGCTCATTTACATGTATCTTGCAATAAAAAAAGAAACTAATGGTCATAAACTTTGCTCAGCCCTCACTTTCTACCACTCCTCCCCTCCTTTTGTGGCCCATATGTTAGCTATCTGTGCTAATTTGTCCCAATGAAACTGTTTTGTAAAAGGAAATGACAGTTTGGAAGGGTGTAATTTTAGGAACAGCAGCGTCCCCTGTGGGATCAGTAGGCAGACTGTTGACTGGTGAAGTCGATGCTCATCTGGGCCTCATTTTGCAGAGCTGAAAGAACAATTTAGTCAACTGAAACTGCTAAACAAGCTCCAGCATCAAGGTTTTAGTTTTTTGTTTTTTCTTAGCTAGAAAAAAGTTAAATGTGGCAAAAAATGAAGAGAGGCTTTAACAGCTCATTCATGCAAAGATACACTAAGTCTATTAAGTTTTTCTGCTACGATATTAATTTAAAGAACAAAAAAATACCGTACATGTATAACAGGTTTAAAAAAGCTTTAACAGGGTTAAATGTTATGCAGAACAAAACAAACACAGAACTGAAGTGGAAGGAATATGATATTCTAGGTTTTTTTTTGTAAATTATAATCTGTAAGTATGGCATGTATCCGTAATTACCCTCCCAAAGTCAGTGTTTGAAATATTAAATAAATAAAAAACAAGAAATTACAGTAGTTATAATTACGATATGAACTGATATAGTGGCCCTATCAATGTTATTAGTTTCAAGTTTATATGATTCTTCTGTTATTAGAAATTTAAATACTGGGAGTTCAATTTCTCAATAGGAAAAGTTTAAATTTATTTAACGAAATATATAATCAATTCATCCAAAAGGCTACCTAGCTGAAAAAAAATTACTGATCTTCACTAATTTGGTTTGTATGATGGTACTAGACAGCCAAGACCTTCATTAACAATATACTATAATTATTATGTTCACTATTTTGAATTTTATGCACATTAACATGCTTCATCTGGCAAAAAACCATAACAGTAAAGGTATAAAATAATACATGTAAAGCAATATTTTAAGTACAGTTTGGAATAAAATTACACAGGAGTCACTATTCCATAACAAAAACAATGTAAAGAAAACAAAAACAGTAGCCTATGCAATGCAAGTGAACTCTGTACAGCACTAAAGAGGTAAGACGCAATGTTTTAATGAGCTAAAACATTAGTTGGCTGTAAGTCAGTGCTGTTAAGGGTAAGACGAGGTGAGGAGCTTCATTAGATGAACCCTTTGACTACCTGGTCAAACAAATGTTGACCATTTGCTCAACAAAATGCAGGCTGGAGACTGACAAGGAAGTTAAGGGGTTTGGTAGCATTTAAGCAACGTAAATAAAGTCTGTTTCCAAATTTAATGAGCAAATTTTAAGTAATTTTTTAGATTACTCCGATACCCAAACAAACTGTTACTAATGCTATTATGTAATGTTGCTACTTGCAACACCGGCCAACACTTAGTAGAGTTTATAATATTTGCAGAAACAGGCCTCGGTCACAGACCTCTGTTTTATGCAAACTGTACCATCTGTGCTGATTCCCAAATGAGTTTGAATGGACCGTCCTAACTCAATAAGCTTTGATCCAGTGTGTTCCACTGGCCCTCTTGTCTATTTAGGATGGTTGTTCTGGTGGAGGGTCAACTTTTGCTGCAGTCTCAAGTCTCTTCTGGCCTCTATCAGTTCTTCTTTAGGGATGGTCTGCATTTAACTCCATCTTTTTTAACTTTAACACCAACCAGCTTACTTACAAATGCTGAAAAAAAAAACATTCATATAAATTATAGGAAAAAATGTATTCAGCAGAACAAAAACTGCATTTCAGAGCAGCTACTGGCTGGCTGTAAAGTGTTCAAAGGACTGCAGAAGTTGCTTCTGAAGGTTTAAAATCAGTTAAATGCCTTTTCAATGCTCCTTGACAGGGCTGCTAACAGGCATAAAACCCCACACCTTATATTCACAGATGAAACACATGAGCAAAGCGTTCTCGCTGGCAGTGTTCACCTTCCTCACGGTGAAAGCAGATTTCTCTCTGTATTTGATCACTTTCCACCAGATGAAAAGATAAACAGCAGAAGCAACGTGGAGAACGGTACATCATCACCTCTGACGGTGGTCCCCTCGTTAAAATCTGCGTCAATTTCTCAGCCTTAGTGCGGCTTTCCAAAGAAGTGAAATATGAAGCAGAGTGGGCCAAAATGGGAAAGGAGTAAAGCAGGTGAGGAGAAACGGCTGGGCTGCAAATCAAAGGCAGTAAATCACTACAACAACACTCAGAGGCTCTCAGTATAGTGGCATAATGCTGGGGAAGACATTTCACTAGCCAAGCTCAATGTGTCTGCTCCTCATAATCCTCCTAATCTCTGACGTCATAGAATGCATAGCAGACCAGTAGATATAAATGTCTTGGGATGTGGGAGACGCAAAAAAAGAAAGAAAAAACTGGTGGAATGATGGGAATCATTGAGGTTTTGTTAACATGCAAAACCAAGAAAGATTGGATCTCTGCAGCTGAAGAGATTCAGTTGATAAAACCGAGAGCAGACAAAGGTTGACGAGTTGGTGACCAGATTAGACGAGTTCTCACACGCTCATGGAGGATGGGGTAGGTAGAGGGTGAAAAATGGGGAGGAGAAAATGGCCTGAGCCAAAGAAGTTGAAGCTGAGCCATGTTTGACTTTTCAAACATGTGGGCTTCATTTGGAGAGATGTGTAAGCCGCATTCCTTCACTGACAGTCCCAGACCGGGCCAAAGACTAATTTAGATCTCTGCAGAACACAAGGCTTTAAAAAGAAATGACTCAATGGCTAATTTGCCAAAAGCCTATGACAGATTATTGCTTGCAAATATGAAAGAAAGAGATGGCGATAGTAATGTTCTCTGGACTGCAGAACAGAAACCCTGAACTTTGTCTTGTCCTGATCGAAATTCAATGTCTTCTTTTCCAATTGGGCAAGAGCAGCACTACCAAAGGAAATCAGTGACAAGACAGAAGACCTTGCTCCAATGGAGCAGGACATCACCAGAAAATACTGGGAAATTGAAATCAAATGCAAAACCATTTGGAGTTCAATACAAGGTCTGGCCTCATGCGGTGAGGATGGCATAAGAACGGTGAGACATGAACTCACAACTATATGGGAGGAGCCATATGGATCTGAAGGTAGTTAAAAAATAATCACCAGCAACCCCACGAATCCTGTATCCCCAAGAGAAGCTATAGAGACAACGCTGAAAACTATGCTGTGAAAAAGTTCAATCTTACCATTTTACTAGCTTCTACTATCTTTTTACAATGATATAATTTAAGAGTCTGTGAGTTGCCTCCGACTGCTGCCCAATCCCCTATGCACCGGTCCCTCATGGTTCCCCCTGCAGGTGGTGGGCCTACTGGTGGAATGCCCAGAGGGCTCTCCAGGGTTGGGTCCCGGCTGTGTCATAAGGAGCGACGTCCTGTTTTTTGTCTTCATAAGGGCATTTTAAACAACTCTTTGACTGACTCGTCATCCAGAACCTGTTTGCCTTGGGAGACCCTACCAAGGATTTTTAACACCACAAGGAGGGGACTCGATGGAAGGAGGTGTTCCAGACAAGTCCCACCAGGAAGAGGCCCAGGGGCGCCCCAGGACACGCTGGAGAGACTATGTCTTTTGTCCTGGGATCACTTCTAGCTTTCCCAAAAACAGAGCTGGAGGAGGTGTGTGGGAAGAGGGAAATCCTGGAGTCTTTGCTGAGACTGCTGCCCCCCGACCCAGTCCGTGGACAACAAGTCAGAGTACAAATTATATAATTAAAGTAAAACCTTACATAGAAAAACAAAACCTTATACAGATTCAGAACACATTCAGTGAAATATTTTCCTGAAACAACAAATCCAGCCTCTCAGAATGTCAAAATATTACCAAGATCATTAATGCAATGCTTTAATGTTAAGTAGGATGTAGGCCCATCAGCCTGGGACTGGACGCCCAGGTTGCTTCAGGGTATCTGGTCTGGTGTCTTATTTTTTTTTCAAACTTAATCTTCTATGAATATGGTTGGGAACGGCACTGTGACCTTTTTGGCATACCTTCTTGTGGAGGATGTCAATAACCATCACATGGACTTGTGTCCAGTAAACAGTCTTCCAAATGTTTTAAGAACTTGCTCAGAGAATCATTGCAGGTGTTTGAAGTTAATCAGCTGATTTAGCAATCAACAAATCTAAAGGATAAATACAATCTCCATAGAGTTTTGGGTCAAATATCATCC